AGAATTCTTTTTGGCGTGAATCCATTACAAATATTTAATCTTATATGCTATCACTAATGTTTATTTTAAATTCTTGAAAATTAAACCCTAGCTACAAAATAAAATTAACGGTTGTCCTGTCATCTCCCAGTCGGATCAACTTGAACCTTCTACCTCTCCGTATCTACCCTCGAGAAATTTCTGATCTTGCTCCTTTATTTAGATTGTTTTTGTTCTTACATTGGGGACAATGAAATATTTTTTGTTTGGTGGTGGGTAAGTATTAGAATACTTAGAATATATATTTTTCAACTGCAAATTGGGTCTGCATAGCCATTTAATAAAAAAAGTTTGAAAAAGAAATTGAAAAACCCAAAAATAGTGTTTAGGATAGTGTTGAACGACTTACCGGCTATAATGATATTTATTTATTTGAATTGAGTATAGCTTTAACGAGAACTGGACAATATCGTATCTTATACTTTTACTTGAATACTTGTCCATGTTGGACTTGTTTCTTGAGCACATAGCCGTATTGACTTATCACTTACGTTGGGCCATGATTTGATTATGTGGATTTAACTGTTGATGTTGTTGACCTATTCTTGAGTGAATTCCTAAATCCTTAATATAAAAACCAAAATGCTAAAAAGCTGTTTGGGGGTTGGATGGTTAGCGCTTGTATTCATAGAAGTTTGATAGTTTGGAGTTATAGGATCTCACCGTTGGTTGAAAAAGTTTGAGTTAAAGAGTCTAAAATAGACACTGACCACTTTAAAAATTTGAATCTCGTATTAAAAAAAAGTGCGATACATCTTATACCTCTTTTTGTAGCCTTTACGACTAAAGTTATTAAGCATGTTAGGATATCTAAAACCTGATGTCCCATGGTCTCTGTCTTGAAAGTTATTGGCCTAAAGCTCGCTATAGGGGTCATTTAAAAAGTTTAATAGAGATAAGCCTTGCACATAAGATGTTAAGAACAAAATTACACAATAAATATATATGTTCATAGAGAAAGAAAAATTTAGATTATAAAATACGAGAGGTGCCCAGTAAGAATTTTGAGACTTGAAATCTAGAGATTGACGATATGACTTTGAGAAAGATTTACCATCTCCCTTCTAAATTTACAAGTATCTAATTCTGACCAGTTTATGTGAAAAAATACGATGTAGTGATTTTTAGGAACCACATATGCTCGAAATACCTCAGGATTGAAGAGAAAAATATAAGGAGTGATTTTGCACGAGAGGTGTGAGGAAAAACTAACCACGGGGGGATTCAGATTGAGGGTAAATCAACAACACTTTGGTTGTGTTTTAGTATAGGTGTAAGTTCAATGTTGACTAATCACACATACTAAGTCGAGCATCGGATAAGTAAAAATTTATTTGTGATGTTGTTTGGATTTCTTTAAAGTGTTAACTTAAATTCGAACATGAGGCATATGGGAAATAGTTCAACGTTGAGTTTGTTATTTGTGATTTGCTTATGTTAGTAATATAGTTTATGCCTATGCTTTGCTTTGTTTTGTTTCGTTCGAGGACGAACAAAAGTTTTAATTTGGGGAGTATTTGATAAGTGCATTTTATGCACTTATTTGCATCATATTACCAAGTTTTTATGTCATCAAAGTGTTAAATTTTACTTAGCTTATGTTGATTTTCTTTTATTTCAGTATTGAACCCGTTTCAAAGCAATTGAAAAAGTTTGTGGACTAAATATCACTTGAATAAAAGGTGGAGGATCAAAATCAGGTGAGAATTAAGAAAAAGGACTAACTTGCATTATTTGGAAGAAGTGGAGCATTGGAAAGAAATATTGTATTAGTTGGGCTTTCAAATTGGACTTGAAAATTGGAGTGGTCTAATTGGACTCCCAATTGGCACAAACAATAGGAGCGGATGGAATAAAAATTGATTTTAGTGGATGAGGTTGAAAAAAAAAGAGCGCTAATTCCCCTTGTACAGAGGAATTGCTGCCAGAATTTCAACAGATGTTGTGGCATTATCTGTTGGTCTTTTTTTTTTCTTTAGTCATTTTCCAATAGAAAATTGTCAAGTGTATTTTGGCAAAATTTTGGCAGCCATTTTCTATACACACAGCAGAACTGAAAAAGAGACGCATGCAAACTGCCAGAATTTAGACAAAAGTCTTGCCAAAAATTGGAACATACACGCAGAAGAAGATAGAAAATGGTACACGCAGAAGAAGGAAGACGGCAGCAGCTAAAGATTGAGAAATAATCCTGGATTTTGTACAATAATTCATCAATAATTGTGCAAGAAATTTGAGAATTTATCATGTTCCGTCAATTTCTCGGTGATGTTTAAACTTTGTTTGTTTAATTCCAATATTATGAGTAGCTAGCATTTTTAGTGTCAGGTTTACAATGAAACTTATATCATGAACCTTTTATTTTTGAATCTTATTTGTTTTTTATATTAAAGCGCATTTCTAGTTATTTAATGATTGAAATGAATTTATTTTTCTACAATTATGTGCTCAATAGTGGTACGAGTTTTGTGGCTTATTTTACATTTGAAAGATTGAAAATAAGTTAGATATAGTGTCGATTGTCATAGAATTCAATAGGGAATAGAAAAATATCGCTATGTTTTACGTGATCTTTAAGTATTTATAAATCATTTATACATTCACATATTTGCATCCATCATAAACATATAGTCGAATTATATGTAAGAATATGTTTAATTTTACTCGAGATATTGTTAAACAATTTAAAAATATGAATCTTCATAATTGAATCGTATTGTTAAATTATAATGTTTGAAATTAAAGGGTATTGATATAAGAGGATTTGAGATCCTGATACGCTTTTCATCATCATATTTTTATAAAACTTACATTTAATTATAATCTTGCATTTATTTCGATTAAGGCTAAGTTAATTCGAATTTGAACTAGTACAATTTCTATGAGAACGATACTTCAACTCAAAATATATTTTACTACTTGTTAACGAACCGTACACTTGCGATAATTTTAAATCGAAATGATTTCACAAACATAACCCGGATCAAGAAGCTAATTTCCATAATCACCTTTCCTTTAAAAGAAAAATGGAACTCCCCGTTTACGCACGGGGAGAAATGGAACTCCCCGTGCGCGTACGGGGAGATGTGAACTCCCCGTGCGCGCACGGGGAGACACCATCTCCCCGTGCGTGTACGTGGAGAATTTAACTCCCCGTGCGTGCGGGGAGTTCGTTTCTCCCCGTGTTCACAGTCATCTGGGGAGTTTCTAAATAAACACATCTTCTTTCTCTCTTCTCGACCACCAAAAAATCCCCTAGACCGCTCTTCCGTTCATCCATTCATCTTCTTAAAGCATGTTTCAAAGAAAACCCTACCTCACCCCTTCCGTTTGAAGATCAGCTCACATTTTCAAGACACTTCCCTATATTTTTCTTCTAGCTTTGGCGGCGGTTTGGAGTTGGGCAAAGGTAACCTCGTAAGATTATTACAACGGAGAAGAAAATGATACCTATGTAACTCTCTATCGTCTAAGATTAGATTATTTGTTTTTTAATTCGAAAATTGAACTGGGTTTGTTGTGTTCTTTTTGATTTTTGATTTTCTATGATTTCTTGAGTTTGATTATTTCCTCAATTTTTATTTTTGCTTTTTTAGTACAAAAATAGAACTGGGTTTGAGGGGTTCTTTTTGATTTTTTCTACTTTATGTGATTTCTTATATTGATTCATTTCTACTTGGTTCTTAATCTCCCTTTTATCTTTTGTGTGTGTAATTATGCGTATCTACTGTGAATCGGTTTTGTAGAAATTCTCAGGTAATTGTGTGAAAATATTGTGCAAGATGCTAAAGGTGAAGATGCGGATTTGAGTATATACAAAGGGAAAGTTCTGCTCGTTGTCAATGTTGCTTCCAAATGGTTCTTATTCTTGTTACTTGCTTTACTTAATGATTTTTTTATTGTTTACTTTCTATCAGTGAAATTTTCCTTTTTGTTGTTACTGGATTTGATGGGGGTTCTGACTTCTGATTGTTTATGTATTTCATTGGCTAAAGCAGCAGTTACACGAATTTGAACTACATCCAATTGACAGAACTTTACAGCAAGTATAAGGGTAAGGGTGAGTCCCTTTTCTCTTTATTTCTTTTATCTTTAGATTTATTTCATCTTTTTATGTGCAAGACCCATAAATAATTTTTCGTTTATCTGTGATTATTTTAATGTTTTGATGCTGTAATATAAGAAGTCTCATGATAATATCTCCCATGGTCTAACAAATTGGCTAATTTCAAGCATAAAATTATGTAAAAATGGTCATAGTTTGCATTTGATTCCACCATCCCAAAGTTTCTTTCATGGAAAAGATGTATAATGTGATTTTAGTATCAGGTTTCGAGATCTTGGCATTCCCTTGCAATCAATTCTTGTATCAGGAACCTGGGTCAAGTGAGGACGCATAACAGTTTGCTTGTACAAGATTTAAGGCTGAATATCCCATCTTTCAAAAGGTAAATGGTGTCACATCAACTTCAGTTTGAATTTTTCTTTTGATGCTTCTTGCAGAAAGCATTTGCTGTCTGGCATGCTTCAATTCTGTTATTTAGTTCTTGTCTTTCATTTGTTGGAAGTTGGTAGAAAGGATGTGTAGATTCTATTGAGTGGTCTGTTTATAAGTTTCAATTGTGCTTTTTGGTCCTTGCCTTTGTTTTTTGGTAGTTGGTAGAAGGGATGCGTAGTTCCATGGATTAACTGCTGTACATAATTGCTAAAAATGCAATTTATTGCATTATGTTAGAATATAATCCTATTCAAATGTAATTCTATTGGAAAGTTTAAGGAAACCAAATATATACAATTACCTCAATCTGTAATAATTTTGATTATTCCTCTCTTCATTAGCATTTTTTTTGGATTCTCTCTCTTACAAGTGAGATCTTTTTCAGATATATACTTCAGAAATTCACCAACCATTTAAGGCATCGTACCCTTAATTTATCCACCAAACTTTTCCTTTGATCAAGATGGTGGCGTTGCAGGTTGTGTGTGAGGATTCCTTGAAGGATTCAGAGGTAATTGGCTTAAAAAATTGATTTGGATGGATAATTGTGATCTTTGTGTTATCCTTTTACTTCCCCCACTATTATAGTTTTTTAGGGGTTCCATTTTTTGAAAATATTTATTTCCCTTCTTCATTCTTAAGTAGCTTTTACTCTTTTTGCTTCATAAAACAAGATGTTACAATTAAGATTGTTAATTATCTTTGATTTGCTACTTAAATGCTTGAACAGTAAATTCTGTGAAGAATTGAGAAAAAAAACAAGGTGACTTGATAAGTTATTTGCTTTATTTGTATTTTATTTAGTGGTCTGGTTTTATTATGTCTTTATTGTTGTTCACCTTTGATTATGTGTTTAATATGTGTCTGGTTATATAAGGATGCAAAGGCACTTCAAAAACAGGTTGCAAAGAAGACAGCACAGGTTGCAGGGTCTGCCCATGCTGGAGGTAAACAAACAAGAAATAGGAAATTTTCTTGTTCGTGAGTTTCAAAATTCATATTCTTGCTTAAAATGAGCTTATTGTACTTTCCCCCTTCATTTTATGTTTAATATATGAAGAATCAGTTTATTAAGAATGTAAAAGTAAAACTGAGATGTATGTGTGTTTTTCAATTTTAAAAGTTGCTATATTTAGAGATTTTTGTTCTTTTTTTATTGCATAATTTAAATTTCAGATATGTTGAGTTTTCATTTGATTTTGTTTGGTTTGGTTTCGCGATTCAGTTTTTATACAAGAATTTAGTGTCCATTGAGTGTGTAGCGAAATTAGGAGTTCGTGTTCTAATGTCATCTTCTTTTGTGTACATAAAGGCTTTGCATTAATTAGTTTGGTTTTATTATGCAATCCTTCTATTACGAGGCAGTCAATTATTTGTCTCTGATTATTAAAAATATGCTTTTTTATTACAATTCTATTCAACAAGTCTAATTTCAAATCCTTAAAGTCTCATTGTACCCCTAATTCATGCTTCAGTTTTGTCCACATGGGTTTTTTTATAGCCTGAAGTCTCATTGTAATTGTGCTCTGGACATGATCTGCACACCAATATTGCTTATAATACTGCTTCAAATAACAGGGATAGAGATCGCTATATGCAAGGTGACTATTGTTTTACATATGGATACTGCAAGCACGATCCTCGAAAAATGGTTCAGACATGGGCTGATAAATAAATACTTTATTTATTTATTTAATCTTGGTTCAAAATAAATGAAACTGAATTTCTATTCTCTGATATTTGAACGTTACACTGGGACATCTTTGTTTAATGTCATTTGTATAATTATCTGTTACAAGGCTCAAATTATAATTAATATTATAATGGATTTGCCTCATCGTTTAAGTGGGAACTGCAGGGGAAATTGAATTTAACCATATGCGCCAGGCCATTCATTCATAGTTATCTTACAGACGCGTCTATAGCCATTTTCACCCTTTGGAAGAGTCCAAAATCACATAATAACTTTTTGTGAGTTTCGCTATTGTTTTTTACGAAGTGACTTCATTTTTTTTATGAACTGTAAGTACACTTTCTTACTCTTCTAACATTTTTAATACTCAATTACTGCAGCTTGAACCAGAAAATAATCAGATAAAACCTTTAGTGATAAAGATTGAGACAGACCAAACATTGTCTGTTGGACAAACGTTTAATTCACTGAAGATTGTTGCTGTTAGGTATCTCACTCATTTAACTTTTCTTAGCTCTTATAATCACTCCATCATATTATGAGAATGGCTTTTTCTGGCACACTGATTTAGCTTTGTAATTTTCGATGAGCATACTGTTGCAGAGCCCTGTCAATCAGTCAAGTTGAATTTTCCATGAAGGTCGATATTTACTCACTCTTTGATGTTCACCTTCCAGTCACAAACCTAGAAGAACATTCTTCTCAAGATACTTGATTGCTCTTTTGACCTATGATGGTGTTCCCGGAGACTTCTTCCTGAATTTAATCACAAATTCTTTGGGAGAGCGTCAAAACGTATACTCCAATAGAATCGCAGCTTTGAGAGGTAATTCGTGACCTAACGTTTGCTAGCTTAGATTTTCAGTAATCATCCCCCCTTCTCTACATGTTCTAATACGAGTTTATTGTCTTTCTTTTCCAGTATGGTCGCTAGGAGTTCCTGAAATGTAATTTGATTATTTACAACTTCTGGTGCAGAATTGCCCAGAGTTAAATGGGTGCTTCCTGATTCCTACTTGGATGTCAAGAAGAAGGATTATGGAGGTATGAACCTTCATACTGTTTTCGCATGTATTTGGTCCTTAGTGTTTTCTTCTTTGTAGTACTTGTGAAAAAAATTGTTGCTTTCTCAATCACAACACATTGAGAATGGCTTTTTCTGGCACACTAATTTAGCTTTGTAATTTTCGATGAGCATACTGTTGCAGAGCCCTGTCAATCAGTCAAGTTGAATTTTCTGTGAAGGTCGATATTTACTCACTCTTTGATGTTCACCTTCCAGTCACAAACCTGGAAGAACATTCTTCTCAAGATACTTGATTGCTCTTTTGACCTATGATGGTGTTCCCAGAGACTTCTTCCTGAATTTAATCACAAATTCTTTGGGAGAGCGTCAAAACGTATACTCCAATAGAATCGCAGCTTTGAGAGGTAATTCGTGACCTAACGTTTGCTAGCTTAGATTTTCAGTAATCATCCCCCCTTCTCTACATGTTCTAATACGAGTTTATTGTCTTTCTTTTCCAGTATGGTCGCTAGGAGTTCCTGAAATGTAATTTGATTATTTACAACTTCTGGTGCAGAATTGCCCAGAGTTAAATGGGTGCTTCCTGATTCCTACTTGGATGTCAAGAAGAAGGATTATGGAGGTATGAACCTTCATACTGTTTTCGCATGTATTTGGTCCTTAGTGTTTTCTTCTTTGTAGTACTTGTGAAAAAAATTGTTGCTTTCTCAATCACAACACATTTAAGATGCTAATTATGACTTTTATTTTGTATTGAAAATGTCCTTTATATCTAACATATCATAAAACCATCCATTTTTACCAAGAACTCAGTCCCGTTGATTACTTTCTTTTTGAAGGGAAAAGAGGATTTTCGTGTAAGTCTTTTCATTCAGCCCGCACAAGCTGTTTAATCTATTAATTTTCACTTGGGCATTGTTCTAGGTTCAACAGCACATATCTCACTGACTTTTTATCGCAATTTTTTTTTTTGTTTTACTCTATGGATTTTCTTCAATTAAGTTTTCCTCAAAAAGTGTTTGTCCTTTTTTTTAAGGCCTTTTTGATTTTTGAAATAATAGAGGAATGGATGATTGAGGAGGAGGAGGTGGTGGATGGTTTGTGGCGGTGAGGCAAATTTCGCAAGGTCTTGATCAAGGGATCGCTTGCCATTTTAGCTCTGGTATATTCAATTTTCTTGAACTTTCCATCTTTCTATATATATTTTCTCTCTCTCGTTCTTTTCACTTTTCGTTAAACTTTATATCCATGTCTTTGTCTATTTAATGCGTTGGAGTGTCTTTATACTTGTATATGTATGTGTAACTATATGTGTGTATACTGAAGGTCTATGAATTTGAAATTAGGCTACTTCATATTTCAATTATGATAGTGAACTACACTTTGTCAGATACGATTCACATTTTTTTTTACATTCAGAGCGAAATAATTGTTTTTTTCACCTGCATAAGATTGAAGTGTAGTAGTATGTGACAATCACTATTTCCTTCTTATTCTGTAGCTGCTAACCAACGTTTTTAGCTATGTTGATGAAGGGGTGGAGCAGTTTCCATTTAGCTGTACATTACCTTTATGTATTCATCTGCAGTAAGAAAAGAGAATTTGAACACTATATAATTTTGGCTTCCGATCTACTATAACTAGAAATCGATCTATTTCAATTGAAACATGATACATCTTTAATTGTCTACAAATGCAAACTATTAATATGAATATTAAGCATATGAGAACTTTAATACAACGAGAGGTATTTCTCTCACATAAAATGTTAAAATTTCTTTTTGTCTTATTTGTTTTTTGCAAGATCGATGTTTACGGAGTTATTCCCAATTGCAGTTTATTGTCCATATAATATCTGATTATAATTATAGGGACCCTAATATATCCCTCTAAAAATATGATTGCAGGACATTTGTTGGAGGTTAAAGTATAATTATCCCATAGTATATGTCTACCCAACTTTATTATTCCTTCTTTTGGCTATTGAATGTTATGATTCAGACCTAGAATGATATGAAATTCTCATTAAAAGCTACACATGGTTGAGATTTTAAATTTGGATTTAAATGGTTTTAAGATATAACTGTGATATGTACTTTTTGGACGAAATGAACCGTTAAAACATGATATGAATACATTAGATAAATCCTTTAGTTAAGCATCATTTGAATACATCAGATATTCCAGTGTAAATATGATCTTATTTCTTTTCTGAAATATATGTGAACTTCAGTTTGGCATGTGGAAGTATGATATATCATGTATGTATTAGCGGAATGCTTGCCTTCTTTGGATTTTACAATATCCCTGCCTTGCCATATATGGAGATGAATCTTATGCTTAAAAACCATCTTCCATTGTAGTAAACACTAATTTTCCTTTTTGGTCATTTTGCAGTTCCATTTAGACACGGAGAGTGCAAAGGTATTACCTATCTTGTATCCCAGAAATATACTGGAGATAGTGCAACAATAAAAGTTATAAGCGTCGTTTTTATATTTTTGTCCGCTTTTGGGATTTATGTATGTCAAATTTAGAGAGGTTATGATATCGAAGAAAAGGCTGCAAGGGCTTATGATTTGGCAGCACTGAAGTACTGGGGACCTTCAACCCATATCAATTTTCCGGTAATGCTTTTAACTTCACTCGCTTAATGTATAGATCTATTATATTATAAAGTGGGTCGAAATATGATCCTCGATGTTAATGCAGTTGGAAAATTATCAACAAAAAACTTTACGAAATGAAGAACGTGACCACACAGGAATATGTTGCTCACTTAAGAAGGTTGCCCTTTGCCCCCCTTTGCAGTTTTACTAATTCTTCCCTTTGTTTAGTCCATTTGTTTTTAACAAATGAATACTGTCAACATT